CACCAAACACCGACAACCACCGACCACCACCCACCACCACTACCTATCACTTTCACCCGTCTCCACCACCCGTCTCCACCACTCCTCACTGCCACTTTCCACCTACTATAATCACCACCCCACATGTCACCCCCACCACCCTTCACCACGACCACCACCACCAAACATCACTACACACCACCACCACCCATCACCACCACCCATGATTATGTGTATATAATCCCATGTGATTATTTATATGTAGTCACATATGATTTGTATGGACAATATTCTTTTTTGTCCATATAAATCATGTGATTATTTGTATGTAGTCACATATGATTTATATGGACAATATTCTTTTTTGTCTATATAAATCATGTGATTAGATACATATAATCACATTTGATTAGATATATTTAATCAAATGTGATTAGATATATTTAATCACATATGTCATTATCGAGTTCTCGATTCAATTATTATTTTTTGTCAACTTTAATCATATGTGATTAGATACATATACTCACATGTGATTATATGTATCCAATCACATATGATTTATATGAACGTATTTCATTTTTGAGTTTTCATTTTATTATTTTTTTCTCATATATTTAATCACATGTGATTATAAGTATTCAATCACATCTGATTAATGTGGACATAAATCTGTTTTAATGTTCTTGATTCAATAGTTGTTCTCGTGTATATAATTACATGTAATTATATATATTTCATCACGTATGATTTATTGAAATAGGAACGTGAAAACAAATTTTTTTCACATAAATCATATGTGATTAAATACACAAGACCAACTATTGAATTAAAAACGCAAAAATGAATATTGGCCACATAAATTATATGTGATTAAATACATATAATCACATGTGATTATATGTACCTAATAACATATGATTTATGTGGACAATATTTATTATATCTTTCTCAATTCAATAGTTATACTCATGTACTTAATCACGTGTGATTATATGTATCAAATCACTTATGATTTATATTGATAATATTTGTTTTTGCATTTTGACTCAATATTTTTTCTTATGTATTTAATCATATGTGATTTTATGTATTTAACCACATATGATTAATGTGGAAAAAGGAAAAACTATTGAATCGAAAACACGAAAACGAATCTTGTGTACAGAAATCATATGTAACTAAATGTACAAGAACAACTGTTGAACAAGAATGCGAAAACGAATATTGTCCATATAAATCATATCTGATTAGATACATATAATGTCATGTAATTAAATACACAAGAACAACAAATGAATCGAGAATGAGGAAATGAATATTTTCCACATAAATTCTATGTGATTAGATGCATAAAATCATATGTGATTATATGCATTTAATCACATATGATAATTGTGGACAATATTTATCTTTGTTTTCTCGATTCAATAGTTGTTCTCGTGTAGAAAATCATATGTGATTATATGTATCTAATCACATATGATTTATATAGGTATCATTATTTTTTGTCCATATAAATCATATGTGATTAGATACATATAATTACATGTGATTATATGTATTTAATCACATATGATTACAGTTGACAAAGAACACTTACTGAATCGAGAATGTGAAAATGAATCGTATCCACATAAATCATATATGATTGGATACATATAATCACATGTGATTATATGTATTTAATCAGATATGATTTATGTCGACAACATTTATTTTTGCGGTTTCGATGAATAATTGCTTTTGTGTATTTAATCACATGTGATTATATGTATATAATCACATATGATTCGAGGTGGACAATATTCATTTTTTCCTTCTCGATTCAATAGTTATTCTCATGTACTTAATCACATACGATTATACATATAATCACATGTGATAAAATACATGAAAACCACTATTGAATCGATAAAACGAAAATGAATTGTGTCCACATAAATCATATGTGATCAGATTCATATAATCACGTGTGATTAGATGTATTTAATCATATATGATTAATTTGGATAAAGATTTGTTTTTGTGTTCTTGGTTCAACATTTGTTATCGTGTATATAATCACATGTGATTGTATGTATCTAATCACATATGATTTATATAGACAATATACGTTTTGTCCAAATAAAATCATATGTGATTAGAAAATATAATCACACCTAATTAAATGTATTTAATGACATATGATTAAAGAGGAAAAAACACTTATTGAATCGAGAATGCAAAAATGAATCTTAGCCACATAAATCATATGTGATTACGTACACATAATATGAGACTTAGTGTAACTCACCTCCTTGAACTTGAAAATCCGCTAGCGTGAGCAAGATGGATCATTTCATTTTCAAGAACTTACACAACATTTATAACATTATTTAGCTTGTGCTTTATTTTATTACTCTTATAAAATATATGTATATATTTTCTTATTTTCTCTTTGATTGTAGTGCTCTTTTTGGGATCTGTTTTCTTCCCTTTCAACCCATTCTTAAATTTCTATAAAATAATATTGGTAAATTTCCCCCTTTTAGATTTTTAGAAATATAAATATCTCGTTCTAATAATTTTTGGTTGATTTTATATTAAATTTATAAGCTAGTAACTTTAAGTCGTCACTTTATGGACCACTCAACACTTTTGGAAAAAATTGTACCAATATTACTAAGAAGTACATTAGTCCCTTTATATGTAGGAAACTATACATCCATATCTAATTATAGGATTT